TATATATACCTGAAGACTGTAGACTGAACGACGTGGAAAGTCAGGCAAGGCTTATGTCCGAAACGGATTTAAAAGAGGAGGCTGAAGGAATATATATATATATATATATGTATGTATCTATGTATGTCTTTGTATATGTATATGAACCTTAATCTATTTATCTATCTATATGTATAATGTGTATATACATACACCTTATACACATACAAATGCATGATCTCAATCTGTCTCTTTTTTCCATCTATACCAACACACACACACATTCGCTCACTAAACCCGCGCTTCTGGTGACAAGGAAACAAACTCTGCGTGAAGCCACATTTATTGCTCGTTTCTTGAAGACTGATGGCGGATGATCCATTAGTGACACATAGCGACGATATGGTATCGCATATAACAGAGGACCACGCATGAAATAAGCATCATAATTAAGTAAAGCGCCATTAGTGCCGTTTACTTAATTAGGACGCAGAAGGCAACACATCAACGGAACGCAGCATTCGAAATATCTGTGCTGTTTCCCGAGCTTTCATGGCAACGACGCAGCGCCTCGTGTTGGTGCCGATCTGGCCGCTGGACAGGGAAAAAGGACAAAAACTCCGCTGGACAAAAACTCCGCTGGACAGGGAAAAAACTCCGCGGCCACAGTGGCAAGGAGGTGGCGGGAACCTGCGTCGCGTTGCAGATTCCAGTCGCCTCCAAGCAACCTTTGGCCGGCGAGTGGAAAAAACCTCTCCAGATGTCCCTAACAGAGCCAGTCCCCGAGGTCATGGCGCGACGAAGAGTGTGTAGAGTCGTCCACTTGTGATGACCTTCTCGGGACATCCTGTGACATCACTTGACGTTCCCTGACTGGGTCTTCGTTTCGCAGAGGACTTCCCGCCCCGTGACTGCCTCTGCGCCTCCGTGCTGACGACTGAATGCGCACCTCAGGAAATCGTCTCCATCTGAAACGCAGAAACCACAGATTGCCAAACGACTGACACACACAGCTAGAGGAAATGAGAGATTGAGTGAAAACCTTATGCAAAAAGGAGCGAGGTCAAGAGGCATTAGAGGAAATGTTTTGTTTTCATGTTTTCATTTGTTTTTTCTCAGTGAAAGGTTTGAAGCTTTCACTTCACCTTTCTGAAATACTAGTAAACAATGTTTACTCAGTAGGTCCCCATTTTTTTCTATTCAATAGTTAAACCCCAAAGCTTAGTCCTCAAAACTGACTTCTTTGAATACCTCAGTTCGGGTCAACGGTCAGCACAGGTCACCATCAAGGTCAGTGTCAGCAAGATTTTCTGACGCCACCCACAGCGGTCTCGCCCTTTCGCCTTGACCGCAGGAGACATCGATGTGAAGCTGGAAAGGCAATGAAAAAAATCCTCATGTTAAAGACGAATGAATGAATAGATAAGAAACAAATATAAAAGAAAATAATCCGATCACCTATGGTATTCTCTATTCTCTTCCACAATCAGGATCGAATGCCACCATAACTAGCACCATTATCAGGAACTATTGTGTGGTGAACGTCCCCGTGCGTATGTCCCAGTGGTCATCAGAATATTCAAGTGTATCCTCCGTCCTTATTTCACCATCACTCATGACACTATCAAACATTTCCTTCTAAACGCAGCTTTGTGGTCAGTGGTGCGCGCCAAGATAAGCATAAACTCATTCAAAGATGAAGTGGAAACCGTATCCTATGTGGGATTTGTCAAGCTTGTTCGATACCGGCGAGTGTCCTGCACAAGATCGCATTGTGTCACTATCTTCCCCCTTTCCCTTTGACCGCACCATGTCTGCCATTATCAGCTTAAAGGACAGTCATTCACATATACCATTATTAAGTTACCTCCAGTGCCGCGGGCGTTGGCTTTCATTCAGCGGGTGTATCTCGGCGCAGATTTGGGAGTGGCTCAGATCCTATGAGCTGTTGGCGAATGAAATCCTAAAAAGGAACTCTTTGGAAGTCGGTAAGTAGTTGGTAAGTAGGGTAAGCATATGAGAAAATCCGTATATCAGAATGCAGTTCATTTTGTGTAAATATCAGTTTGAAGTAAATTCAATAAGATCACAGTCGCAACTCTTAGAGGTGGGTATATATAACCGCTTACCTAGACGGAGAGGATATATTTCTTTTGGCTGCGACCAGGAATCCAAGCCGAGACATCGCAAAATCTGTAGACTTTGCCTAAGGGCGCAGAACCTGAAAATCTGAAATCTGAAAAAAAATGTAGATCTACTGAGAAAAGGATTATCGATCTTACTGCCGACGAACTTGCAAGCTCGGAGATGCTGGAGGGCTGTAGGTGGCCCTTTCCACACACGAAGCCGAGGCAAACATTGCAAACACTGGCTGATGTTCACTCAAAAATCCCCTTCACATTCTCTTACCTCAGAAATAATGAACGGAAATACAATTCTGCGTCAATATATTTCCAAACACCCTCAAAAAGAAGAATAAGTACCATATGGGGACCGTGTGCATTCCTCAACCTCAATAAAG